GAGAGAGAGAATGTTCCATCCCGCCAATCTCCTTTCCACCCGCTCGACAGCTGGATCCCAAAAAGAAGCCCTCCTCAAAAGAAAGTTTTTCATTTTAAATGCATCAAGTTCGAAGATTTAATGGTTTTAATAAAATCTGAGGAAATTAAAGAAAGATGGAAAAGTTACTTTGATAAATTGTTAGTTGAAAATCAACTAGGAAGTTCAGGCTTAGAAGAATATAGTAATCTTAGGGATAACATATATTTCCTTGTAGGGTCAAGGAGAGTGAGGTTGAAAATTGCATTAAGGAAGCTGAAACTAGGACGGGCTTTAGGGCCCGGTGGCGTCCCTATTGAGGTTTGGAACCGTTTAGGGGTGGATGGATTTTCTTAGTTAACAAAATTATTTACTAAGATAATTACAACTAAGAGAATGTTTGATGAGTTGGCACAAAAGTAGATATAAAAATAAGGGAGACGTACAAAGTTGTAATAATTATCGTGGTATTAAATTAATTATTCATACTTTGAAACTTTTTTGGTGGGGGGGGGAAGAGAGATTGAGAAATGACTAAAGTGGGAAACTGTAGTGTCGACAAATCGGTTTGGATACATGCTTTTGGGGGGGGGGGGGGGGGGGGGGGGGGTGGTGTTTAAGGAGACTAATGGAAAGATTTATGGAGGAGAAGAAAGATCTTCATATGGTTTTTATTGATTTAGAGAGAGCCTATGATAAGATTTATAGAGATCTCGTATGGAGGGTTTTTAAAATGAAAGGAGTCACAAGGGGATATATTGACACAATAAAGAACAAGTATGATTGATGTGTTACTATACTTAGAACGACTATAGGGGAAACAAGTGAGTTTTCAATTACCTTTGGCTTACATCTAGGTGGCCATCGGATTTTGGATTCAGCCCTCATTGCTAGTGAGTGCATGGACTCGAGGTTGAGCAGTGGTGTTCCAAGAGTCCTTTGTACGCTTGATATTGAAAAAGCTTATTATCACCTGAATTGGAACTTTTTAGCTCTATGTGTTAGAGAGGATGGGCTTTGGAGAGAGATGGAGTTGATGGATCGAGTTCTGTGTTTCTTCTGCGAGATTTTTGGTACTGGTGAACGGATCTCCGACTGGTTTCTTTAGCAGTTCATGGGGAGACAGGGGGGGCCCCCTTTCCCCTTTCTTGTTCATCATTGTCATTGAGGCCCTTGGTAGGCTGAGAGGAAGGGTTGTGGACTTGGGTTTTATTAGGGGTTTTAGGGTGGGCAGAGATGTGGCTCATTAGTTGGAGATTTCCCACCTGTTGTTTGCGGATGACACTTTAGTTTTTTGTGATGCTGATTTGTCCCAGTTGAGATTTTTGAGGTGTGTTTTGGTTCGTTTTCAGGCAGTTCTGGTCTAAAAATTATTGGGAAGAGTGCTTTAGTTCCTATGGAGAGGTTCCAAACATTGTCTCTCTTGCTATGGCTCTTGGATGCGGGGTTGGTATGCTTCCCATTTCTTACCTTGGTTTGCCTTGGGGTCTCCATTGAGGAGGGGAGGTTGGGATCTAGTGATAAAGCGGTTTGAGAGAAGACTTACTGGGTGGAAGAAGTATCTTTCGAAGAGCGGGAAAGTTATGCTTATGAAGAGCATTTTGTCGAGTCTTCCTACATTCTCTCTCTCTCTCTTTCAGATTCCCTTCTCAGTGGCCGGTAGGATTGAGAGGATTCAGCGGACCTTTGGGGTGGCATGGGAGACAAGGTTAAGTAGCATCTTGTTCGCTGGGAGCAGGTGTGTAGGCCTCTTCAGTTTGGTGGTTTGGGGTTAGGAGGGTGGTGCCTTTCAATGGGGCTCTTCTTGGCAAGTGGCTGTGGAGATTCAGGGGTGAACGTCACAGATTATGGAGGAGACTCATTTCGTACCGCTTTGGGGAGGATAGAGGCGGTTGGTGCTCTCGTGCAGTTACTTCAGCAGGAGTGTTGGTGTTTGGAAATTCATTCGGAAGGGTTGGAATGAATTTTCTAAACAAATCAGATTCAGAGTTCGAGATGGAAGGAGTACCCGTTTTTGGATGCATCTTTGGTGTGGAGACGATTCTTTGGCTTGTTCTTTTCCCAGGATTTTTAGGTTTGCTGCTGATAGACACGCGTTAGTTGCTGACTGTTATCATCTTGATAATGGGAGGATTACCTGGGATGTGTGTTTTTTGCGTTGTTTTCAGAACTGGGAATTAGATAATGTCTCTGCTTTTTTGGAGCTTTTTTCAGAACTAGGAATTAGATGATGTCTCTGCTTTTTTGGAGCTTCTTTATAGGCGGGAGTTGGATGGTGGAGGGTCGGATTCTCTATTTTGGGTGGCTTCTCCCCAGGGAAGATTTGATGTCAGCTCTCTGTTTTGTTGCCTTTCTGTATTTTCAGGGGTTAACTTTCCTTGGAAGGCGGTTTGGCATTCGAAGGCTCCTCTCAAAGTGGCCTTCTTTGTTTGGACAATAGTTTGTGGAAAGATCTTAATGCTTGATGACCTGAGGAGGAGAAGACACGTTTCTATTAATTGTTGCTGCAGAAGACAGGTTACTGTTAATTGGTGCCGTATGTGCAAAAGGGATGGGGAGTTGGTTGATCACCTTCTTTTGCATTACCCCGTGGCTCACAACTGTTGGTGCCTTATTCTTGGCTTGTTTGGTGTTTAGTGGGTTATGTCTAGGTATGCGAGAGGTTTGATTGATGCTTGGAGATGATGCCTTGTGGGGCCCCTTGCCCATGATTTTGGGAAGGCAGCACCCTTTTGTGTTTGGTGGTGCATTTGGAAGGAGTAGAATAGTAGATCTTTTTTGATGGAGTGGAATATTTCTTGGGGGCCCTAAATTTTCTTATTGTTCTCTCTCTTTTTTGTTGGGTTATGGGGAGAAATTTTAAATCTATAGAGGAGACATTTGATTTTTTGGGTTCCTTGACCTCTTAGGTCCTTTTTGGCTTCAGCCTTTGTGTAGTTTTTTTGGGATGCATTCCCCTTTTGAAAGCTTTCTAATACATTTTTACTTATCAAAAAAAATATTGTTTTAACTCATGACACCAGATAAGGAGTTAATGCCAAATTGGAGGTTTGAAGGATGAGTAGGAATAAAATTTAATATATGCCGTGTACTTTTATTAAATTTAGAAATACAAATGAGAATGCAGTGAAGATTTGAGTATCAAGAGGTACAAAAATAGTGAACGTTTTCGTTATTTAGGCTTAATTATTCACAATGAAAAGGAAATTGGAGATGATGCTAATTAAAATATCAAGGAAGGATGAACTAAATGGAAGAGTTGTCTAATATATTGTTTAACCGATGTATCCTGTTAAGATTGAAAGGGAAGTTCTATAGAACAGCTATGATACTCGCCGTACTCTATAGGACAGAGTGTTAGGCAGCTAGGAAACAACATATGCATAACATGAGTGTGGCGGAAATGCGAATATTGCGATGGATGTGTGGCAAGACTAGAAGGAGAGAATTAGAAATGAACACATTTGTGATATGGTTGAAGTAGCACCAAATGGAGATAAAATGAGAGAAAATTGGTTAATTTAATAAATGAATGATCTGGAACGAACTTTTAGATGCCGCTTGTGAACAACTTTGTTCAGTTGCATCCCTATGCACAATTGTAGCTAGAGTTGGGGTGAAAGTGAAACTGTGAAATTGTGGTGACATAATGGAAACTTATTTTTTTGAGGTTAGTCCTTGCCTTTTCGACCTTAGGTTTAGGTGTCTATTGACTCTACTCAAACCAAATTCTCAACCATTGGGTTCCGGGTTCGCTTGTTTTGTAAGCTTTGGCCCATTATGTTGTGTCCAAAAATGTAAGAAGTGGCTGTTGATTGCATAATATCTAATACCACTTCCCAAGATAACGATCCCCTATACATTGGGTCATCCTAGGTCCACTAGATCCTTGGTGGGGGCTTGGAGAGGGTGTACAATGGGGGCCCAAGCTTGGGATATTTTGAAAGAGAGAGAGAGAGAGAGAGAGAGAGAGAGAGAGAGATAATATATGAAAACGTATATCTTATTGAGTGAGTAATACAATAATATAATGGTGTTTATATAGGAGAAGCTACAAGAGTAGGTGAGTGGGAAACAAATAAACCCTATACATGGTAATTCTATATATGGTAATGAGGGGTAGGTGACAACTCATACAATACTAACTGTATACGTGTGACAACTCATACAATATTGTATAATGTGACAACTCATACAATACTGTACAACAGTATGATTGGAGGGTTGCATCCTTATGTGTCTGGTGGTAATTATGATTAGAGAGGAATAAGAGATCTTTTGAAGGAAAGGAGACTCTTGTTGGGACTTGTTGAGTTTATTAGCACCTTTTTTTGTTGGGTTCTAGGGAGAAATTGTAAATCTTTGGAGGAAATTGTTGATAATTTGGGTTCTTTGAGTGTTTAGAGGCCCCATTTGGCCTTGTGTTTCTTTTGTGGGATGCATCCCCCTTTTGGGCGCTTTAAAACCAAATAGCCTCTCCTCAAGAATTCTTTAGTCCTAAACAATGACTCAGTCCAATGAACTGATTCCACCTAGTTGTCAATGTGGCCATTAGATAGTGATGATGCATATAAAATGCTTTATGAGGATCCCCGTAGTTCAACAACAAAAGCCTCAAAGAAAGGATGTTGGTGGGCCAGTGGTGGGACTGTAGTAAAGTAATTCCATGACAGTCTTAATGGCATTGAATTATTGCAGGAAATTGCATTTCAATGAATGCATTGTATGTGTGCAACTGCGTGTTTACATGATTGGTTGGACCATCATTTAATCTCTTGTAAAGCATGGCAATGGTTTGTGCATTATAATTCTGCTAGTTTATTATCTTGCTAAATCCTCATATGCATTAGGCATACACGTGTATTGTGTTGATGGTTTTAATTTTATTGATGATGTGGATGTCTGGTTTTCTGCTTTTTAATCACAAGTTACCTAGATAAATCATGATTCTTACATATATGTTTTTTATGTTGTGTTCGCAGGATAAAAGCAAATGGTTTAGGGAACTTGTAAGTAGTTGATCCTCACTTGTATTATATTTTCTATGCTTTCTTTTTTGGTATTCGTATTTGCCTCCAATCAGGATAACTATCAATTTGGATGATGAATTTTTATGGCGTTTCACATCTTGTGATAATTGACAATTAAGTTTCTCTTACTCACTGCAGCTAAATCTTTCTCCTCTGATTCCTTATTGGGAAATTATTTTGTCTAATTATAAGTTGGTTTGGATATTTTGTGCCGCAAATATGCAGAATAGTTAACCAGTTAGTGGTACTTGATTGCTGATTTTTCATCAGGGTTTTATTTTCCCAATATTGTTGTGAAATGAGTGCCTAAAATTTACGTATTTGTATTGCAAATATATTTTACTGCACTGATTCCTCCCTCCTTGGCTAGGAGCTACTGAACTTAATGTCAGGATGTTCAACAGAATGTCTACTTTAACATGGTGGGATAATTAGTTTGTTGTTGAAGATTTGTTGACTGACCAAAAGAACTCAAAATTGAGCAAATTGATATAATAATATTGTTATTATGAGTTGCTTTCCGGACATACAAAATATCAACATGAGATTCTTAGTTTTATCACCTACAGAAAGGAAAATAGGTCTAATTCTTAAAGTACTATCAATCATCAATGTGGATATTGATTCCAAGCCATGTCAATCTTTTTAAAGGTAAATTCTGACTTAGGATGTGTCAAATTTGATACGGGTCTGTATCCATGTGTCGGATGTGGCAAATTTTCAAATATGACACATGGATATTTCTAAATGCTTGTATTATTTGATATATTTTTTTAATTTTTTCTTGAGTAAAATAATCTGTGTAATGTAGTGTTTAATATAGGTATTTCAGTCTTTTTGAAGAAATAGTATAATAAAATTAAATTATATTATTGGATGTGCTTTTTAGGTGCATGTCCAACCAAAAGTGTCAGACACATCTCGTGGCCATGGGTATTGTGCGTATGACACGGGTACTTTACTTACTTTTGAAGAGTTCATGTGACATAGGTTTGAATAAAGCACACCTTTGGAAATGCTTTGTAACACATCCAAAAGTTATCCAAGTCCTTTAGTGTCAATCTCTTTAATCCTAAGATTCATTCAGGATACAGCCAAACATACCTTGTCATAGTATATGTGGTCAAAGTTGATGAAAATCGTTAATTGTGTATTGCTTCGTTATCTTAATGTGATATTTGAGTAAAAGTTTCAATCAAACCTCTCTCAAGAAAATCAACATGCTCATAAACTGAATTAGACCCAAACCATTCTAAAATATCTCGAATTCCAACTTGTGTTTTGACTGGGAAATTGCCTACACAATGACTCTTAAGTCCTAGTAATCTTCCTTATTGGCAATTAAGCAAAAAAAACTAAGTCCTAATATACCAGACGTAAACTAATCAGGGTAGAAAAGTCAATTATATGATGGTACGAAAAATTTAAAGATCATGACCAAATTAATTAAAAAGTGTTCCTCAGGGGCATTACCCGTCCCCATTTAAAACGATGAGTGATGACTTGCCTACCAAAGTGTTCGTAGAGGTAGCTAGACTACCTCCTCTGTAGGCTAGAGGTGAGTCCAGTGTCTTGCCAGTGTTGGAGACGAGAGGATTATGCTTCAAAGTAGAGGATAGGGGTTTTTGGCAGAAGCGAGATGTATTGCAGGCATGCCTCGTTTGGATGTTCGATAAGCCAGTGGGTTCGACTAAGAGGATACCTGAGTGGGCTTCTTCGAAAGCATGGAATGTGGCTAATGGACTGGGGGTGACGATGCTGTGACACTATGTATTGTTCCAATTGCCATTGCACACACAGGTGATTAGAGTCCTTCTCGAGGGGAAGAGATCGTGGGGTGCATATATATATATTTGATAAGTCGGATATTCCGGCATCTTGAAGGGGATAAAAAAAAGTCGATTGTTTTTGCATGGATTACCTCTTCACTTGTGGTCTGATTCTCTGTTTTGAGCCATCGGTGACACATGCGGGGGGTGTTCAAAATGGCTGAAGTCGTACAACAAGATGCTTCGAAGGTAACGATCATTGTCAAAGAGGGTGGCCACATTCTGGAATTCGATTGGGTGGAGGACGAAAGGCTGTGATTCAAGGTGCAGTGTTGGAACTGTAGGAATTAGTGTCGATCGCATCTCTAGCTGGTCAGGATGAATGAGAACTAATTCAGAGGATCAATAGTGGAAATCGAGGGAGGAGACGGTGATTAGAGAGAAGAAAGGGATGCCGGAGCAAAGTTGTCGAAATTTGGTACTGAAATGGGACCGAATATGGGAGGATAGGGGCATTGGATCAAGCACGCGCTTGTTGTGTGTGGGGTACAGAGGCAGAGTACGTGTCCATGCTGTGAAGTTAGGGCTAACGGTAACAAGGGAAGGGAGGTAATTATAGGAAATCGTGGAAGGCATATATTGGCTTGTATGTGTACGGAGACACGTGACAACAAACATGTAGATTTCAAAAAATACTGGGCATGTTTTAGTACTCACAATAAGTTTGGGCTTTTTAGTTTAGGCCCAAACGAAGTGGAATGGGCCACAGAAAATGAGCCATTGAACATAGGTTGTCGTTTTGAAACTAAAGACCACAAAACAAACCCAACTTCAGATCATAGGCTGGATCATAACAAAAAACGGGCTGGGCTTTTGAACAATCAAACTAAGATAACCTGGAAGAAGCCAATCCTGTCCAAGAATGGGAGCAACAAAGCCAGCCCAAGCCCAGGCCTTACTTGGAAGGAAGTGGACTTGGATTGAAAAGCAAAAATGGGATGCGACGAGCCAGACCAATCCAACTCAGTCCTAAGAATAGGTCAGTGGGCCTAATCTCAATCTTATTTCTTTGTAACCCAACCCCTTCACCCCGTCTTCATCTTATGTGCTTGTGGGTACACCGATAACCATAAGGGGTCTGATTATCCAGATGGGGTTCTTGACATGGATCGTCGAGGAAGTATTTAGTTGCCGGAGGGAAGCATAGGCTTGACAATAGCTTGGGAGAGATTTTTGTATTGTCAGGCAAAGGGAGAGATGAGGTGGTGATTTCGCTCTGTATTGGGTATGGGATACAATTGAAAATTCAGCAAACCAAGTAGCAATGCTATTGGCAAAGCTGCGCCCTACAGTAGGTTGGTTTTTGTGGGCTAATTAATGAAAGTGATTCTAAGAGTGGGCAATGTGTTGCAATCGGTTTTTGCTTGTGGAATGAAGAGAAGAGGGTTGATTATGATCCATGGGGTGGATCGAACAGAAGAGGAAGGGCGATTCTTCTTCTGTTTGGGGCTCATCAGATGGGTATAACAGGGAGGAAGATATGGGCTTTTGGTTGATCCTTTCGATTGTTCATAGGAGATGGTGCGTATAGAGGATGGGGACTGTGGCGAGGGTCTGTACCAGCCTCTGGTTGTGGTGGGGCCTGAGGGTGTTCGGGATTATTAAAGATTTAATGGAGGAATCAGTGGAGGAAAATCTTTCAGTAATTGATGTTGTTTCCTATCATTGAAGATTTGATATTGTTAGAGGAGTCAGTGGAGAAAAATCTTCCCTTTTCCTATTTGCTTTTCTTATTTCAGCATCTAAATTGAACATGGTATCAGAGCCTGGTTGTTCTTGTAATCCCATCTAGAATTTGAGGGGGAGTATTGGAATTACTATCATGGAGCATGTTCTCTTTGTCTTCACATTCTTTTCCCGGCGTTGTTTCGGCCATTTCCCGGCATTGTTCCGGACATTTCCCGGCTTTATTTCGGACATTTCCCCGCTTAGTTCCGGCTTTTCCCGGCATTGTTTCGGCTTTTCTCGGTGTTGTTCTGGTCATTTCCCGGCGTTGTTTTGGCAATTTCCCAGCGTATTTCCGGCTATTTTCCCTGGCGATTTCTAGTTTATTTTCCCCAACAAGATCCGGTCATTTCCTCCCGCAAGATCTGGTCAATTTCCTGACTTTGTTTTGGACACCTTCTCATCATCTTTCGAGGCGTTTCTTTGGCAAGTTGGGTATTCATGATATTCATGCTCCAACTTGAGGGGGAGTGTTGAAATATATAAATATTTCTATATAATCGTGGAGCAAAATCCTCCACCAATCATGGAGATCCGGTCAATTTCCTTCCAACTATAAATATTTATATATAACGGTGAAACAAAATCCTCCACCAATCACGGTTCCTCCTTTGACTATTGTACACCTTCCATATTTTCTTATCCTTACTGTGCCTATATATAGGCTCTTTGTATTCAAGCAAAATATATCTAAATAATAGAAATGTAGCCCTTAGCGACTCTTTGTCCATGGATATGCCTGTATTCTCCATGTATACTCAAGCCTTAGTGCCGAACCATGTATATGCCTGTATTCTCCATCTTTCTCTCTTCCCTTTTCCTCTTTGCCTTTCTTATTTCCACATCCAAATTTAAGATTCCTCTAGTAATACCAAATCTGCAATAATAGGAAACAACATGAATTACTGAAAGATTTTCCTCCATTGATTCCTCCATTAAATCTTCAATAGGGATAGTTTCATTGTTATTTCCGATATTGATCGTGAGGAGATGCGGTTGATGGAAAACATCGGAGAGGTGAGCAAGAATTTGGGATTAAAGTTTGATGAGAATGAAGAGAGGGCTATGGAGTTGTTTCACTATATATATAGGGAGTGGCAAGGGGTGAGGAGTAGAGGCTTGTCCTGGAGAGCGGAGAGGGTCCTTCGTGGTCTTGTTTCTTATGTGAACTATGAAGGTAGGGGGTTCCATTGTGTCTGTATGAAGTTATGGGTGTTGGCGGCGATTTAAATGTTGTTAGATCCCCAGCTGGGTTATGCATCGACTTCAATTTTGGAGGGTGCATTGTTTACATGGTCAAGAGTCCCCCATTCCCTCTTGCTTTGGCAGATTTTTGGTTTCAGGTGACTAGGAGGAGAGATTTTCAGACATGGCTTAAGTGACGTTAGCTCGTCCGGTTTGTGAATATGTGGCTTCAAGTAGTGG